GGGACAGAGTTCCAAGCCGTCATCTAGCCGATGTCGTTGCGGCCTTAGTAAAAGCCACATTGCCCGAGAGGTTGCAGGTGCTGGATGCCGTAGATCTCGCAACAAGAATCAGGGTGACCCTACCGCTCCTGCTAAGGCACATTCAGAGACTGAAGGTATGAATCTGAAGGCTTATGATTTTATCATTACTACTATTACTGTCATTAGTATCACTCACTATTATTGTTATCATTAATGTTGTTGTTGTTGATGCTATTGTTATGTTATTATTTTTTTTATTGTTGTTGTTGTTATTATTATTGTTTTATTATTTTTTGTTATTATTGTTCTTGTTCTTGTTATTATATTATTATTTAAATATTATTATTATTATTATTATTATTATTATTATTATTATTATTATTATTGTTGTTGTTGTTATCATCATCATCATTATCATCATCATTATTATCATCATTGTCATTATTATCATTACGATCATCATCATTAGTATTATGATTATTATTATTATAATGATAATAATGATTATTATTATTATTATTATTATTATTATTATTATTATTAATTATTATTTTTTTTTTTTTTTTTTTTTTTTTTTTTTTTTTTTTTTTTTTTATGTTTTGGTTTTGCTGTTTTTATTATTATTGATGTTATTTTTTGTTATTATTTTTTTTATTATTTTATTATTTTTATTATTGTTATTATTATTATTGTTATTATTATTACTACTATTATTGTATTTTTGTTGTATTATTATTATTATTATTATTATTATTATTATTATTATTATTATTATTATTATTATTATTGTTATTATTATTATTATTATTATTATTATTATATTATTATTATTATTATTATTATTATTATTATTGTTATTATCAATATTATTATTATTATTATTATTGTTATGGTTATTGTTGTTATTATCATGATCATCAATATATCATCATGATCATCATCATCATCATCATCATCATCATCATTATTATTGTTATTTTATTGTTATTATTATTATTATATTATTATTATTATTATTATTATTATTATTATTATTATTATTATTGTTATTAGCAGCAGCAGCAGCATTATGATTATCATTATGATTATTGTAATCATTATAATAATAATTATAGTAATAATTATAATCAGCAGCCAGGAATATGATGTGGTGCATGGAAATAGCATCCTCCCTGGAGGCAGCTCTCTTCCAGTCACTGCTTACTCACCTTACATTCCACATTTGTATATCTATGGGAATAATGTGAAAGCCCCCTAATTACACTCCAAGAGGTTTGTGCACTTGTGGTATGTCTTTTCCATCACCTTGGCCTTTGTTATGGCAAGTTCATGTCACATGCCTGCATGTTGATGACGGCATGTTACATCCCAGCCCTTGACTCAGATTTTTCCAGGACAAGACTGTAATATCACCTGGATAGTAGGGGTTAACATAAAAAGTGATGTCATCATGTTAGATATGTAGTACAAATTTCAGTGCACATTAATGAAATTTGTATAGAATTTGTATTCATTTGTAAAAAATGGCCTTCATATTAATTCAACATATGAATTCCATCTTTTCACTTTTTCATGACTTAAATCATAAATTAGCTTACTGCCATATGTGACATTAAACTCAAACTTCATTAGAGATATTCTTTTATCAGTATTTATTATGTCCACCTAGACCTCTTTATTTCTCTCCCCATCCTTCACTTTATATACTGGATGCTCTTAGATATCACAATCTTTTAAATTCCTCCAAAAATGTTTTTTTCTTTAGGATGTCCGTGAAGCAGCGGGAGATGAGACAAACGACAAGGAGAACCAGATCGTCAAAATTAGCAGGGGGGGGAGGAACCTGTCGCCGGATCCAGAACTCGACGATGATGGAGAAGATGGCATTGCGGAGTTTGAGACAAAGATCAAGGAAGCGAACATGCCTGACGAAGCAAGGAAGGTATGGAGTTGATGGGTTGATGGTTGGAATCAAATGTAAAGGGATGGATGAATGGTTTGAAAGAGGTGAGATAAGAAGGGAAGGAGGAAAACAGAACTACGAATGGTAGAAGGATGATAATGATAGGTGAATAGGTAGAGAGTTAATAGATAAATGCAATAGTAAAGAGAAGAAGAAAGAGGCAGGTAGAGAAAAGAAAACCTGCTTTGTGTATTGTGCTATAGGATAGATAGTCTCCAGATATTTGTATAGGAAGAAGAAAAGAAAAGAATTATCAGAAATTCTTAAATATATGAACAAAAAAATTATAATCTCAACAGATATGATGAATTATTCATTCTCCTTTTGTGGCATTCATGCACTCAGATTGATTCCCCCCTTTCTTTTAAGATAACTCTCATTCAGAAGTTAATTTTTTTAAGTACTGTGATAAATGTTGACTTGAACATTTACCCATATATGCAATTAATGTAATGATGCTCTATGTAACCATCAACATGTATTTGATTCATGCTTTCACATCAGTGTAAATATCAGAATGTGAATTGCGCATATCTTGCCATTTGAAATTACTCATTCTCATTTATTCAGTTGCTCCATTCTTCCCCACACCCTCCATTCTTTTTACTCTTTTCCTTATCCAAAATTAACTATGACCTGTGTTTTTCCCCCCTCATGCAGGCAGCACTGAAGGAGCTGGGTCGCTTGAAACGCATGGCTCCCCACATGCCAGAGTATTCTATGACGAGGAACTACCTGGAGCTCATGGTAGACCTGCCTTGGTCTGCCATGGTCAAAGAGACCTGCAATATCAGCAAAGCGCGGGCTGACATGGATGCCGATCATTATGGGATGGAGAAGGTAGTGAAAGGGTTTGTGGGAAACAAGAGAGAAAGGATTCCTTATGACTGATTGTTATTATTTTGATTTTATTAGATTTTTTTTTTCTGTCAATATGGATATTTTCTCTTGAAGATTCTTTATCTGTTGGGAATTAAGATCTGCCTAAGTTTTCCATAGAATTATAAAATGAAGATTGGTTTTAAGTTACCTTCTGCTTTTTGGCAGATACGATACAAAATTTCTTCACATTTTCCCAGGTTAAACGCAGAGTGTTAGAATACCTTGCTGTCAGACAGCTCCGTGGTGACCTTAAAGGACCCATCTTGTGCTTTGTTGGGCCACCAGGAGTTGGGAAGACGAGCATAGCCAAATCTATAGCAACAACACTTGGACGCCCTTATCAGAGGATATCGCTAGGTAGGGAAGAGTATGAGGTCATAGTTTAGGGTAGCAATTGACTAGGGGCTGCTAACTGCCATAGACTTTGGAAATAGAAATACAAATGGCCTTTTCAAAAGTTAACCCCATGTCGTTGGGCATGGCATTTACGTACATGCCATGCCCCATTGTGTGTTGAATTTAGTCATTGTTTTTACATATAGATGGCTCCACAAGTACTAAGTCACCAATGAGCCAATTACACAAACTACCTGTCTCCCACTAAGCCTTTTCCTTGATTTTTGATAATATTTTCTAGTATTTCATACTGCTATTAGTAATGTCAGTAACAATATAGTAATTACAATGTTCATAACAAAAATAATAGTGTCAATATTGATAGCATTAGTAAAAAAAAAACATTTTCCCTCTTTTTCAAGGAAAAGTGAGGTCGCAAGATCTATTAATTGACTCCTTTGTGGCTGAGTATTGGCAGAGCCATCTATGTGCAGAAACATTTAACCAAGCATTGCCAAAGGGAATGCACCATTTTCCTGTTGACATTGGGTTAATAAGCATTGCCTTGTGTCATGAAAATTTAGTGTATCATACGTGTTGCACTACAAGAATAATTCTTGAACAGGTGGAATAAGCGATCAGCATGACATTCGTGGGCACAGAAGAACCTACATCGGAGCCATGCCAGGGAGAGTAATTCAGGCTCTCAGAAATGTTAAGGTTTGTCCTTGATTCATTCTTGAGATTTCTGTGCTGTACCATCTTTGTTACGGAGATTCATCACGTTGAAATACTTCATGAGTTAAATTTGCTTCAAAATTTATTTACAAAGAGTCATGCCTTAAAAGATTTTTTCTTGTTGTAGAACAAATGTTATTGAATAGGATTGTCAACCACACACACACACACACACACACCACACACACAACACACACACACACACACACACACACACACACACACACACACACACACACACACACACACACACACACACACACACACACACAGATATATACATGCCTATGTATATGTATGTATCCTGTCTATATCTATATTTATCTGTCTCTACATCTCACTTTTCCACAGGCAAAGAATCCTGTGCTGCTTCTTGACGAGGTAGACAAGCTAGGTACAGGCATCCATGGAGACCCAGGAGCTGCTCTCTTAGAGGTCCTGGATCCTGAGCAGAATTTCGCATTCACAGACACTTACCTCGGCCTACCATTTGATCTTTCGCAGGTGGGTTTTGGTAGGCAAGGATTAGGTTGTTGACTGTGGGGGTTCAGTTGGTGAAACAAGGCTAAGATGTTTACTTTTTCTATATTCAGAGTGATGTTTTGACAGCATAGGAAGGTTCTTTAATGTGTCTCTATTGTTTTGGGCATTTTTAAAATTGATTTTGCAAAATGATAAAAAATCTCTGTGTCAGACATTTCCTTGCATCCTACATAGGTGCTGTTTGTTGCCACTGCTAACACGCTGTCATCAATTCCAACGCCTCTGATGGACAGAATGGAGGTGATTCACGTCCCAGGATATACTCAGGTAATGCAGTATTCATGATCACAGGTTTTGAGGAAATTGGAGTCTTCTCACAATTTTTTTCCTTTGCTTCAGGAATATGAAAGAAATTGAATATACTAAAGAGTTCAGTCAGTAGTGAGATGAGTATGTCAAAGAAGGATTATATGAAAAGCAATGTGTTGTCCTATATGTGGTATATATTTACCACAGTTGTAACAATTGCATTAACAAACATTACCTGAACAGCTTCACATAATATATTGAATTATATATACAAATTTTACATCATAACAATTGAATTTTCTTTGAAGGAGGAGAAGATTATGATTGGTCAACTGCACTTGTTACCCAAGCAGTTACGAGAGCATGGTCTCACACCTGACATTATGCATGTGCCACCAGAATCAATTGCAATAGTCAGTAAGTGTCATTATTGAACCAAAATTATGGGTGAAAGTTTACATCTTATATCCAGGTCTTTTTAGTTAACTGTGTTGTTGTTTTTTGGTTATGATACTCTCCAACTAGATTACATATTTTCAGTTATGTGAGCATCATCTATTAATATTTATTAAAATGGATTATATAATTCTTTACTCTGCAGTTGGAGAATACACACGGGAAGCAGGTGTCAGAACACTGGAGAGGAAAATAGGAGCACTTTGCAGGGCCGTTGCTGTCCAGGTTGCTGAGGCTAGACCAGAGGACCAAGGTAGTTCTGATTGTTTATGAGTATTTCTGTGATGTGGTAAGCAGTTGAGTAACTTATACTAGCGGGGAATCAATTTTTTTGGTGACTTATACAAGCTGGGAGTCAGCTGATAAACAATTTGTGTAGGCAGTGAGATATATTATGAAAGCATACTAATAAATATCATGTACAGGCAAGAAATAACCTATTCTATGTCAAATGGCTATTTCAAGTAAAGGTAAACTGCATAATGCATTGCACAAACAAAGTGTAAACTATCTAGATATCGCTTACAAAATCAGAAAGCTCTCAAACCCTAAAACAGCCATCGGTGACGAAGGAGTTAAGGCAGACATGGTGGTAGCAGAAGCTGAGGAAAAGGGAGATGGAACACAGCAGGGGGAACCGCATAAAGAAGGAGGTCCCACAGCTGGAGAGCACTCGTACCACCAGTCGCCACTTATTAACCTGACCCATTTGAAGGAGTACCTGGACCTCCCTGTACAAGTGGATGCAAAGATGATCCATGATGTCCTAGGGGTTAGTTTTGTTGTGGGATGGTTTTTTGATTCCTTTGTATAACAGTACCTCAATGAGTTGTAAAATAAAAAGTCAGAGTCACAAACAGGCAAATCTACATATACTCTAGCAAATATGTAAAACACTAATTAGGGAAAAGAGGATTAACAGTCATTTCTCTTCTCTCTTCTCAGCCCCCCATATTTCAAAGTGGGCTGTCGGGAAGGGTGAGCGTGCCTGGAGTGGCAGTGGGCTTGGCATGGACCCCTGTGGGAGGTGAGGTCATGGTTGTTGAGGCATCGCACACAGGGGGAGATGGTGGACTCACCCTCACTGGTCAGCTGGGCTCTGTCATGCAGGAGTCAGCCAAGATTGCCTTGTCATGGGTCAGGCAGCATTCCTTTTTGGTGAGAATTTTGTGGCATTCCTGTTCCATCTCCATCTACTTCATTTTCTGTTTTTTTTACAGCATTCTGAGTGTGTACACATATCATTATTATAAATATTATCTTTGCATCATCACAAAGAGTATCTATATTATCTTCACAAGTTTGTATTAATCCACCTCACTGAACTTATAATAACCAATCCTTGTGTGCTTCTTTCAACCCAGATTGGATTGGAGAAGGACTTCATGAAAGATGGGGAGATCCACATGCACTTCCCTGCAGGGGCCATTAGCAAGGATGGGCCCTCGGCAGGTGTTACCATCCTCACTGTTCTCGTCTCCCTCCTGTCCCAACGCTGTGTCCGGCCTGACGTTGCCATGACAGGGGAGATTACCCTTAATGGGGTTGTCTTGCCGGTGAGCTGGTGATGGATATAGTAGTTTGCTGGGTTACTTTGGTGTTGAAAGTAATCCTTTTTCTACATCTTAATCCAAGAGATTTCAAGAAAACTTTTTGGGTTTCATTGCTTTTTATCTTTTCTTTTCTTTTTTTGCTAGTTTTGCAGTTTATTTTTAGGTTGAATGGGTATATTTCTGTTCTATAATAGAGTTGTTTTTTATTTACCATGTTGCAATATTTGTAATTAATAAGAAACCGTCTTCTTATTTCTTTTTTTTTTCTTTTCTTTTCTTGCTTGTTTGTTTCCTGTAAGTATGCTTTATCATCATGATAATAATTGTTTTGTCTTTATGGGGTTTAGTAAGTATTGTCATATTGAAATGATAATTCCTTTTCTGCATTCCACTGTTCTGCATTTTTAGGAATGTTTGGCTGTATTAGCAAAACTTAATTTGTGAAATTGACAAACTAAAACAAAGAAAGAAGGCACTAGTAAAATTTTATATTACTTTGTACTTTAATGAATTCAAAAATTTATCAGAAGTACATTTATATAGTATATTTTATTCAATCTTTGTTACCCTATTGCCACAAGGAAAATGTAGTAATCACTGTAGTATTGTTTGCAGAATGTCTCTACAAATAGATAGCTTGGCAAATGCTCAGCCACCAAATTGTCATATATTTATTTATTGAAAAATTTATACAGCATCAACATCTAAAGTCATTAGCAGCTTATTCAAAATAAAGTGATAGGGTGAGGCTTAGGGGCTAAGTAAGGAAAAGTAATACAGAACTATGATATAATATTGTGGTGAAAATGGGTAAAAATGAGTTAGCGATTAGGACAAAATATGTTAGACATCCAAGTTTGTAGAGCGCTGTAGGTTAGTATGGTAGTGAAAAGGGTAAAGAGGAGTACAAAGGTCAGTCAGGACTGACACAAAGACAGCCTCTCATCCTTTCAGCATGGCTCTCACACCTTAGGAAGTGGTCAGAAGGGGAAGAAGAGTAGGAAAAGGAGAGGTGAGAGCTGAGGTCAAAGGTTGGGGTGATCCCCTACATTAGGCCTCAGTCTCCATCTGGTAGGGGGGAAACGGGGAGAAGAAAAGACCATGCAAAATTAGTTGAGGTGAGGGCTGAGGTCAAAGGTTGGGGTGATCCCCTACATTAGGCCTGTCTCCATCTCCTAAGCCCCCTTCAACAAAAAACAAGCAAGGAATTGAGGGGGGGCACCAAGGAGTCAGTTAGCAGACGTCTTGACCACACCTAATCTCGCCTTTTGGGAAAAGTTAGTTTAGATGCTGCTATTTTTATGATTATTATAGACATTATAATTATCATACTGTTATCACCATTACTAATAGCAATAGAAGATTAAAGAAAGTATTTCCAAAAATCAAGGAAAAGGGTTAACAGGTGAGAAAGTAGTGTTGATAACTGTCTCATAGATGATTAAGTACTTGTAGAGGCATCTATGTGTAAAGACCATTAATAAATTGAAAGCACTGTGGGCATAGTATTTACATATGTGCCAACGTTAATGGCATTGGGTTAAGTTCATGTATTTTCCAGTATAAAAAAACATAAATGATATAAAGAAAGACAAAAATGTGTATATAAAAGCCATAAATTTCAGGTTGGTGGTATTAAAGAAAAGGTGATGGCTGCGCACAGGGCAGGACTTACTACGCTGGTGCTTCCTGCTGCCAATAAGAAAGACCTCGCTGATATTCCAAACTCAGTCTTGGTAAGTTTAGGAAAGCAAAAATCTTCCTCATCCCTGTTGGCTTTTTGTCTTTAGGAAGAGTTATTTAGTAATAATAATAATAAAAAAGTAATAATATTTATCATTGATACATTTTGTTTGTAGTGGAGGATAAATCAGTATGTGAAGAAAAAGGAGTTTCATTTAAAATTCTATTTGTACGACAATGTTTTCTTTGCCTTGCGAGAATGATGAGAAATTAATGAAATAGGGATCATCCCCCTAAACCTAATTCTCTTCTGTAACAGAATGAAATCGAAGTAGTACTTGTGAACACAGTGGAAGAGGTGCTTCAGGCCGCGTTCGATGAAGGCTTCAGTGAAATGTTTGACAACGACAAGGATGGAGAATCAGTGTCTAAATCTCCGATGAGCAAACTTTAGGTCATGTATTTTGTTATTTGCTAAGACCAAGTGCTTCTGAGTTGAGAGTTAGCTGAGGAAAAAAAGAGCGAGAAAAAAAAAGGTGTACTTTCAATTTCTTTGCTTCTTATTACTTTTTTCTCTCTCCAAAAATTTGAGTTCATATTACTTGAAAATTTAAACTTGCTCAGAATGGAGGTTTTGTTATAAATATATGTAGGGTTAGACATTAACTAGGAGGATTTCTTTTCATTATGTTTTGCTAATATGTATTGAAAGCATTTCATATATATGTACATATATGTTTAACGTATTTTTATCATGAAGTTTATATGTAAATAAGTAGGAATATTCATTATTGTTAAAAATATATATATTTCAGGGTTTGGTATGTGTTGTAGTTAAGAAAAGAAAATTAGGGATGTATGAACTAGTGTAAAAAAATATCTATATATCTACATTAATATATTTATTTTTTTTTTTTTTTTTTTTTTAATTTGTTAAATCATTGTTATGTCACAAAGCCATTGTAGTGTTGTAGTTATTTTTGTCATTATTCTTTTATTCTTTGAAATGAAGAATCTAAAATAAAGAGGCAAACAAGAGTTGACTAAAAGAAAAAAATAGATAAATAAAGTTTAAAATAAAAAGAAAGGCCGAACAAGTGTAAAAGAGAGAATGTCTATAATTGAGTGTGTGTGTGTAACTAGTATGGGTAATATTGTTAAGCTCAAGTGACCACAGGATGGCACTCAAAACTCAGCAGCCGTTATGGATCCGAATGTGCAAGGCAAGTAGTCCCAGTCCCCTTATGTAAGTTACTGTTTCATTGGTACAAAGACTATTCACTTCACCAAGGGTTTTATTAATCCACAAGAAATAAAGGCACATCAAACACGGGGCGAAAATCACAGTCGCAGGCAGGGAAACCAGAGGAAAGTTCATGAGGACATCTTCTGGAGGGGAGAGTCCCGGAGCAATCTAACTTGGTGGGACGAAAGACACCCCTCCACATCAAAACTCCCGTGAAATACAGATACAGAAATGGAGGGTGGTGTAATAATATTATATGTCTATATATATGTAGAAGGGATAAATTTCCAGTTTACAAATATTGTACTCTAGTTCGGATAATGTGTTTGCAATATGGACTAATTTGGTCCGTGTGTCTGTGATATGGACTCATTTGGATGGTGTGTCTGCGATATGGACTCATTTGGATAGTGTGTCTGCAATATGGATTAATTTGGACAGTTTGTCTACAATATTAATTTGGACAGTGTGTCTGCAGGATGGACTAATTTGGACAGGTTGTCTGCAGGATGGATTTGGACAGGTTGTCTGCAGGATGGACTAATTTGGACAGGTTGTCTGCAGGATGGACTAATTTGGACAGGTTGTCTGCAGGATGGACTAATTTGGACAGGTTGTCTGCAGGATGGACTAATTTGGACAGGTTGTCTGCAGGATGGACTAATTTGGACAGGTTGTCTGCAGGATGGACTAATTTGGACAGGTGTCTGCAGGATGGACTAATTTGGACAGTGTGTCTGCAGGATGGACTAATTTGGACAGGTGTCTGCAGATGACTGGACAGGGTGTCTGCAGGATGGGACTAATTTGGACAGGTTGTCTGCAGGATGGACTAATTTGGACAGGTTGTCTGCAGGATGGACTAATTTGGACAGGTTGTCTGCAGGATGGACTAATTTGGACAGTGTGTCTGCAGATGGACTAATTTGGACAGGTTGTCTGCAGGATGGACTAATTTGGACAGGTTGTCTGCAGGATGGACTAATTTGGACAGGTTGTCTGCAGGATGGACTATTTGGACAGGTTGTCTGCAGGATGGACTAATTTGACACAGGGACTTGGACATGCAGGATGGACTAATTTGACAGGTTGTCTGCAGGATGACTAATTTGGACAGTGTGTCTGCAGATGGACTAATTTGGACATGTCTGCAGGATGGACTAATTTGGACAGTCTGCAGGATGGACTAATTTGGACAGTTGTCTGCAGGATGGACTAATTTGGACAGGTTGTCTGGATGGACTAATTTGGACAGGTTGTCTGGTTGGATGGACAGGTTGTCTGCTGGACTAATTTGGACACAGATGGACTAATTTGGACAGGTTGTCTGCAGGATGGACTAATTTGGACAGGTTGTCTGCAGGGGTTTTGGCTGCAGGAGGACTAATTTTGGACAGTGTGTCTGCGATAGGACAGGAAGGAAGGAAGTAAGGAAAAAAGAACGAAGGGAGGAAGGAAGGAAGGATGGAAAGAAAGGAAAGAAAGGAGAACAAAAGAGAAAGGAAGGAAAGAAAGAAGAGCAAAAATGAACGGGAAGTAAAAGATAAAATACTGGGAAAGAAATATAGAGAAGACTCACCAAGAAAATAGAAAAAGAAAATACGGAATGGAAAACAGAGAAGACTAACCAGAAGAAGGAAAAGAAAATACTGCTTGGGAGGAAGAAAAAGAAATCAAAAGAGTGAATGGTTGGCTTAGAGAGAAAAAACAAAGTAATAAATAAAAAAAAAAACTTGTGAAGAGAGAGAAACAAGCATGAAATAAACAAGAAAAGGTATTGAGGATTATGATATCCATAGACACCGAATCGGAAGGACAATTTCTCCTCGACAGTGGAATTTCTCTGACATTCTTCTAAGCATTTCTAAATACTTTAAATTTGCTCAAAAGTCTTTTTGTGTGTGTGTATGGACATGGGTGTGTGCACATGCATTTATTTTTTAATCTTTTATTTTTTTTTTTTTTTACTGATAATTTGTTGTTGTTGCCAAACATTACATGGAGTTATTTCTTCTCTTTCTTAGTCTGCATCATATGGGACTAAGGAGAACTAATCATTTTATTAACAATAAAATGGCAAGTCTTTCTCTTAAAAATATCTAATGTCTGGATTTGTATAATTAAAATACTATGTATAATATAAAGAGGATCTTTATTAAAGTTTAACATTTTCTTCCCTTTGAGACATCCACAAAGAATTCCCTTCAAAGAACAGATAGAGAGAATGAGAGCAAGAGGAGGAAAAAAAAAATTACAACCCTCGTCCAAGCTGGTGTCACAGAACATGCTTTCGAGGATATTGAAAAGATACGAATATCTGTCATATAAAACATTATGTAACCATATTAACAAAATAAATTGCTTGGGAAAACATGATTGGAAAACCTCGAATCTCTAGAGCAAAGAGCTAAGTTATCTCTGGTCAGACGCCATGTGTTTCATCAGACTGCTTAACAGCTTCTCTAATTTCTTCAGCTCCTGTTGGCTGTCAGTCTTATACTGGACACACTGAAAAGTCAAGAGAAAAGTCACTTTAAGTGCTAAATACAGAATAAATTCAATCAATTCTAAATTTTGTTGAGTTGTTTTACTCAGCTAAAACTAATTTGGTGAATTTTTAAGATACAAATATATTTTTAAAATTACCAATACAAGATTTTGAGACTATGAAGTGCCATGACTTATGGAAAATAACAAATTTGCTCTTGATATTTACCATTTCAGAGTTAAATATACGTAATATTTTGCTACCAACAAAATATATAACAGGCTCACTTCCAATTTTACTCGTATTTGAAATATATTCCTGTTTCATACAAGATGTAGCTATACAAAAGATGTTCAATACATTTAAAAATAAAACAAAACTCAGTAGGTTAACATCTGGTATATGATGATAAATATACAACATATTAGAAATTTAAATGAAAATAATCTTTTGCCATTCACAGAGCATAACCAATGTTACTAATTGTTTCTATTCAAGTTGAAGAATCATTTACTACTTACCATAACATCATCTGTAACTTTAACTTTAAGGCAACAGTTGCTGTGATCATATTTTAGCACACATCGAGTCTGAAAGAGACAAAGAGGTAATATTTAATACACTCCTAAATGACTGCTCAATAGAGGATAGAAAAATGGGTATTAATGATTGTGCATCATAAATATCTATCTGAGGCAAAGGACTTATCATATAATACCAACTAATACGATTCCATTTACTTCAAAACCTGGAGCAATAGCTGCCATCACAATGGTATCAATTTAAACGGATGCCTATGACACTTACGGACCAGCAAGTACCAGTGAATCTTCAAAACCTATACTATGTTATGTTAACTGAGCAACCAATGTAGTTTCTAGCATACTACCAATAATTCAGGTCAGAACAAAAACTTGTTATTCTCAGGAACTTCTTTAATGAAAATTCAATGTTGTGGGTGCAAGATTTAATGACATCACTCTCAAAGTATAACAAATCAATTAACTAGACAAGAAAATGCAATAGTTAGATACTCAAGTAAGTGAAATGTATATGGTTATTTTCTTCTTTAGGCTCTGTTCACTTTTTGATAGTTGTATAACTATAGGTCCTATATATCTACTCTTTGTTCTATTTTATTTACCTTTATCCAACATGGTTACTGCTTATTATGAAAGTGATTTATGAATGACTAGATAAATGATATTTAGAAGATACCCATACATCCCTCCTCCTCCAGTCTCGCACTAAATGCTATGGTCTTCATGCCTGTCATTGCTCTGACAACTACAATGGCTTGACATTGTACCATTACTAGACAAGTTTAAGATCATATGCTATCCATCACAAATTTCATCTAGTTATAATTGGATTTATATAGAACACAGCTAGTAATATTACAAAAAAAAAAAAAGGTAATTTCACGAGTTACTATGGGTCTTCTCAATAGCTACTAATGACTTAGACATCAATAACAGATCCGAGAGTATCAGCCCTCATAACATTTTGACACACTCAATAACAGAGCCGAGAGTATCAGCCCTCATAACATTTTGACACACAAGTTACTGCGTATGTGTTAACAAGTGCAAATCATACATAAGACAGTCATTTGCTTGATAAGAATAAAACATTTGGCTCGTAAAACAAAAACAAAATACAATCTGAAGGTACACCTAAAAACAGAAATGTAGAAGAAGAATCTAACTGTTCAGAACAGGGAAGTATGTATGTATACTATGAAGTAGTACTATAATCCCTGCCTGTGTTTTGGCAAAGGTCAACACTTCCCAAGGTATATTTAGCAAATTAGAGCTTGGACAAGGCCAATGTGGTATGCTCCATCGAGCCAGAATAGATATGGTGAAGGTTTGTTTTTGTTAGCCTGTGCACAGAGGCATCTTCACTAGGCTTTATTGCACGATTATGATTCTAATGAATTTATTTGCTTTCTGCAAATTATATTCTATACACATTTTTGTTATTTCATGCCCATTACCTTTGTATTTCTCTATATTTACACAATCTTACACTAGATATATAATCATAAACGTTTTTTAAGTTCGGGTTAGTTTAAAACAGTTCAGAGCACCTATATTCTTATTTAAGCAGTTTATAAATCTCTCCTACTAAGGCACAATGGAATGGTATAGTTTTCTTGGCATCATGGGTGGCGAACTTTATATAAATAATTCTCAGATATATGTATTCATCTAAACTCCAATAATGTTAATTTTTCTTCTCTTCCCACATTCACATAACTGTCTTTGTGTTTGGAACTGAGCTGACTGGGAAAGCCCCGACTTGGTGCTCTGACACGAAGCATGGTGAACAGATTAGACAAGGGGGGGGGGGTGGGGGGGAGGGGGGGGGGGGGGAGGGAGGGGGGGGGGGGGGGGGGGGGGGGGGGGGGGGGGGGGGGGAGCGGGCGGGGGGGGGCGGGGGGGGTGATAATGACATGGATTTCTTGTTGGACTATTATTTATGATAACACTTCATTGAGGAGTTATCGTTTGGTCTAATCTGGGTGTTGTATTTGAGGCTAATGGGTACCAGAAATGACATTAATACTGCTTATGATGCACTACTGTTGCGTCTGTAGGAGTGTCAGGGAGAGGAGGCACTGAGTAGCAGGCTCAAACTACCCCACAAAATTCAGATAAAGTGGCTGCTCGATGGACGCAATGGATAACTGCTTGGCCTGTTGGTATAATCAACTTTAGCAAAAATCATACGGCGGATTTATATGACCTGGAGAGAGGTCTTAATTTCGGGCAATTCTGTTCATTACACGCAATATTTTCCTTGTAATGCACGATTATGGAAAAACTGATAATATATTCCTGAGATACAGGATTTGTATGAGTTAGAATACTTTAATATGTTGCTACTGAATAAGAGAAAACGAAAATTATTACTTCACACACTCATGGAAGCACAGCGTCACTTGATCAATAGCGAGGCGATGTGTCCCGCACCTCACGAGGAAAAATTTCCTTTATGTTTTTCTTCTGCATTAAGTGTGTTTTTTGTTGCTGTAAAGCATCTGCATGAAATTTATTTTAAGTAAATACTTCATATAAATACCATTTCTATTTGGGTAGCATATTTGTAGATATTTGTACTTGCTTTACTGTTACTTGTGTTTGAGCCTGCTCGTCGTTCAGAATGTTCTTCATTTAGATACCTTTTTGTGCTATTATCAAATTGTCTTGGTGATTTTTAATGTTGTGTGTTTTATGTCGGTTTGTGTTGTGGGTGGTTATGGTTGTTAAGGTGATGGTGAGGAGAATATTAATTTTTGATGGCTGCTTTCCTACTGGTGCCTAGAACAGCCAGATATTTTTTTACATGCGTGTTTGCTGGTTGGTTCGGGAGAGATGTTACATATAAACGTGACTTGTGTGGGGTGGGTTTGTGTGTGGGTGAGAGGAGGTATCATCAACACGGGGGTGTGGTGGAGTAACTCAGTCGATGCGATGTAATATTGCTAAATGTGTGGTGGGCGAGGTGGTTGGCCTAATTTGTGGCCTCCAGTGTGTATGCCTATATTATTCCTCATGTTATAGACGATCGAGGAAGGTCATAATCTCTAGTCGCTTCTGAGTGCAAGTGGAAGGTTAGAAAATTTATAAGTTGAGTTTACGTGTCTTTGATAGATTTTTTGGGACTATTTGAAGCCGTGGTGTTTGATAAGGTGGAACGGACGATGATATTTTTTGTTAGTGATATGATACCATATGTTCTAGTGTTTAGGTATAGTGGGTGTTTGAGTTGTTATCAATTATGTGAGGTAGTGATATAGGATCTGTGGTCAATGATGTTTGGTTATTATCTGGGATGGAGTGGTGCAGAAATTTCACTCGAGGAACTGGAGTAGAGATTTGTCACAATCTTTATGATTATGACTTGTAACAGTCATCAAGTTCACATAGATTATTTTTGTTATTTGCTTCTATAATTTTTTAGTTGACCTTACTATATGGAATATTTAAAACTTTTATTCATCAATGTAACTGTATGACAGTGCATTCATATTTGTAATGTTATTACATAGTATTTCCGAGTATCTATGTTGGTAAAATGTAACTGTGGTGATAGTGTATGTAATTTTCTGTGGTCTGATGCAGAGCATGATTTGTCACACTGAGGTATCTATATAGTTGCTGTTATTATTGAATTGTTCACAGGATCGCGCCCATCTCCAGACATTGTGTTAAGATATAGGTAGTACGAGTGATTGTACATTTCTAATCGAGCGGCCACACACTGACACACTTGATGTGACATGTCTCATGCAGTTACAATTAAAGCAATAGCTAGTCTAACACTCATCAATACTTCCTGTTTTATCGTATGATTATCTATGGGATTGTGAAAGTGGCAATTAATTGTTTTATGTGGAGGAGAAGTTATGATTTATGCGAGCATTGTTTGACTTAAGGCTTAGTAACAATGCGCATTTATGTTATTTATCTACATCGAGTCTAACTCTTAGGAAAAATAAATTGTTGATATTGTGGATTAAAATGTTTCTAAAGTAGATATGAAACACGCCCTTGAACTAACATTATTCATGCACATACAGACTCTATCATGCTCTACTTGAGCATTTGAGTATACCTAACTCAATCTTCTGTATAACAGTTACAAAAACTTGTTTGTGCATATTATACCATACGTATCTTTTAATAAAATCCAACTTTTGCACTTATAGGTCTCTTCTAAGATACTTCGAGTGCGTGAGCATTTTTATTATCGCAACAAGTAGAATGTGCGACCTGCCGCTGCAACCTCTTTCATACTATCTCAATGAGATCATTTATGTTGTTGAGAATAGATGAAAATAAACACAATTGTTAACATATATAGAGGATATAAAGGAATTTTTATATGATGTATAGAATTAATACATTATAATGTAATGAGTAGAAATATATTTTCGATTGATATTAATGAAAAACAATAGAAAGAATTGAAATATCTCGTATATAGATTTTTTCTCACTCAAGTTTATTACAATATGTCGTAGTCCACGCCTGTAAAAAGCTGTGTTTTTCCTCTTCAACCGAACCGATCTGGCGCGCTGTCGTGTAACGCAGACGTGTGGTGTCGCAGCAGAACCAGCTGACAATAACGACATGTCTTAATCGCTAGAGTTGCTGCATATGGTAACTACAGTCAGATCATGACGACACAAGCGGAATAAGCGAAACAGAGAGAAAAGCGTGCATATGAGAGTATAAACGTTCTCTAAACTCGGCCAATTCGTTGCTTGTGCAGTTACTACTTGTGATCCATAGTCGCGTGACGTCTCAGCTAGCAGAACGGAGTGAGCCGCA